CAAACGCTATAATTCACAATGAACGACACACGCGCTCGACCCAACTGTCCGTCTCTATCTCTGTCTGCAATTCAATTGCATTCCGATTGTTGCCGTCACTTCTTGGCGGTCTTATATACAAGAATACCGAATATCTAGTAAACACTCGAGGCTTCACGAAGGGACATGATTTTTCTAGAAGCTCATGACGTGTTACTAGAGTCACGTGACTTTCGCTGTCGTAACAATATGTTACCAAGTTAGAGTTAACTGGCATGTGCGGTGGCATTCCTTATAATTAATTATTTACATCATATTTTTCCTCTTCTGCAAAGTACAATTTGCTTAATCTCTCTAAAACACTGGAAGTGGTGAGGAGAAATGTCTATTTCTGAACATTCCCGGTTATTTTAAATTGTAAAACTAAAATCCTACCAAGAATGAATAAAAAAATGCACATAGGAGGTATTAACTTTGAAAAAAGAAAGTAAAAGTAATGATATATATCTCTTAATTCGTGGGAAGAAAATCCACCGTACGTATTCCCGTAGTAACAAATTTTAAAATCATACATATTTTGTAATTCACTATAAGCTTAGTCGTTTTTTGTCTGTTAATAGATTTATATATTTGATATAAACTATAACATTTTCCAATACAAATTATTTAATTGGTACAAAAACCTTCATAGTTTCGCCACTGTACTGCCACTTTTCGTGCTATCTAAATCTAATTCCTATAGGCAATAATTTACATACATATGGCTTTTGTTTATTTTCTTTGAAGATAAGCACAAAGCTGCACAATGGGCTATCTGTGCTCTGCCCACCACGAGTACCCAAACTCGGTTTCTAGCGTTATAAGTCTGCAGACATGCCGCTGTGGGCCATTCATATGGCATAAGTGAGATAAACATCCAAATTATCCATCTAAGTACTACAACTACTTATATTCTACTTTTATGTTACATGTGTTGTGTAAAATAGTTTAAGTAATAATAATGCTATTTTTCGTTAATATACCGATTTACTCTTGTTTTATTTCATGTAGTGAAAGTAATTTTGTTTGTGTTAATTAATTTATAAATAACATTGCTTCCGTGTTTCAGTTTTAATTGGCAAACTGGCACTATTCGAGATACACGTACAGTACACAGCGTGGTCACAAGTAAATAGATACCACCTTTTCAGAAAAAAAATGAAAATTTTCAGTCCTATTCACATGAATTGATAT